CCCCCCCCCCCCCCCCCCCCCCCCTCAAAAGTTAAATGGTCGGCCCGTAATACATGTACTGCTCTCTCCTCCGCAGAGGCTTTAGTTTTCTTAGGATTTAATATTACGATGAGAAACATTTCACTACACTTCTTTACATGGCGGATCTTGGAACACGAATGTACTGAAAACCTGTCGAAAATTTCGAATATTATTCGAAGTAAATTAATTTCTGTTTAGATACAGCCAATCAGAATCGAAGGTTTTGAGTATCGCACGTGAGACAATATGGCGGACGTTTGGGTCGGTGGTGAAACTGGGGTTGTTAAAGGTTTGTTGTAGTTTTATTAATATATTCCTTGTTAATAATTTGAAATAGCGAATGTATCAGTAAAGAATGTCTTATCTTAATTTTGACAACGGAAAAATGGCTTCAATAGTATTCACCATCTTGTTTAGCGATCGATTTGAGTAAGAAAGAATTTGGAAATTTTGGAGATTTATCAAGATTGAATAAAAGTTCAGATGAAGTATGCCGTATGTGTTGGTTTGAGGATAATGAAAAAAAGGTATAGGCATTGCGAAGTGTTTGAAGGTAATCTGAATGTATATAAGTTGTGCAGCTAGTTGGAAAATTGTGGTAGCAGTGTATGTATGGGTTCATTAATAATAGCGAACTTAAGCAAAGCTTAATCTAGTACGGGGACGTGCCAAGAAACCGCCTTAAATTTTACACTTTTATAATTATAAAGAACTACAGTTATTAAGAACTTCAACAAAGCAGAACAAAAGTGCAACGAGAACAGCTAGTAATATCATATTAGTGCAAGAAAGTGAGCAGAAATTAATAATTGAAATCTCACGGTCGTTTTAGACGTCGCCATAGCTCTGTTTTACAACGGCAAAATACAGATTATCACGTCTTATATACAACGCTTACATTTCAAGCTGGGACAACTGCTATTTTAAATTGAGTCCTAGAACTTTTCTCAATCATAAACCCTGTGTTAATTTTGATCCTTAAACTGTATAATTTATTTTCATACGCTGGATAATAGACGACAAGTTTTCTTTTGCAATCATCGGTTCAACGAGATTGTCTGCCGTTGCCGTCGCGTTTCCGTCCTACATGCTTAAAGCCCAGGTCACACTACACAACGATAACGATAACTTGCATACGCGCGCTGATTGGTCAAAAATTTATCGTTATCGTCCGACTGAAAAAAAAATCGCTCACCTGAGCGATTTTAAAATCGTTATCGTCTAACGATAATTTTATCATTTTTGTTGTTGTGTGGCCACTAACACAATTTTTTTGCCAATTATCGCGTGTTTACAATTTATCGTATCGTTATCGTTGTGTAGTGTGACCGGGCCTTTAGGTCGCTAATAGTTCATACCAGGAGATACTGGAGAGGGGCTGCAATCTTTGAATGGAGCTGAGTAACTGTGTAACAAAACTGTAACAATATTTTTTTCAAACATGAAAGCATTGGTGGGCTATGAATTAAGTTATTTATTGCATGAAGTTCTCCTTGTTCAAAGAACGGTGATGAACAAGGCTCCTTGTCATGAATAACATTGTCAATTTTTGCCGTACATACGACACAGTAAAACTAATTGTGACGTTGTCACTAAGTGTTTCCTTGGAGGGAAAGCTGAATGGTTTGCTTGACCGTGGTGGGAATTGAAACCGCAACCTTTGGTTTGCTGGTGCAGTGCTGTATCAACTGAGCTACAAGGTGTGGATGCACACTCAGAGTAGCATCACAATATTCTTCATCAAGGAAAATTGTCAAGGACTGCTTGCTCATCTGTACAAGGCTTAATTAAGTTTGAAAGTTAAGGTGTTATTACTTTATAGGATTAATTTATGAGTACGTACCCTGTTGTAATGTTACTGAATGTGGCTCAAAAAAGCTTCTCAGTTGCAATTAAATATATCAACAATGTATATATGATCATGCATTCATCTTGTTTAGATTTGTATTGGTACCAAATCAGGAGTGTGTAAAATATTTGACACAGAGAAAAAGGATTATGTTGATACAAAATGTTGTTTTACAAAAGAGGAAGGTGAAATAACTGGACTGGAAAGAAATGAAGGGTATATTTTGATAGTCTAATAGAACAAGGGAGAAATTCTATTCCAAAAACTGGGGGAGTGGAACTGGCCATATTATTTTAATATTTTGCCCTGCTTTAATAATATTCACTCTGCCCCATTCCTGACAATTTTACTTGTCAAGGGGAGAGAGCTGGCACGCAATGGGTTAATCAGACTATCTGCCCATGTGCCCATTGAGTTGCATTGTGTCCTAATAATGCACCCTATTATATTATTTTACTCTGTCTAATGCTGGAGGATTTTACAATTTATCCATTCAGCTGGTACTCGGTGGATAAAAAATAAGTAATTTAATTATAATCTTGAACAACCTGTGCTAGTGTAGGTAGTCAGTGCCAATAATAGGCAAACTTTAGATTGATAGGGATCAACTACTTGAAGAATACAAGGAGAACCTTCGATGTTTCAAGTGAAGGCCCTTCGTCAGGAAGTATATATCTGCTAATGTAATGGACCTTTAACCTTATAACTAAAATTTTGATCTAGACAAAAATTTCATCACAGCTTGAAAAGGCATCACAAAATTAGTAATATTCCGAAGTTTTGTTGCGAAATGTTGTAAAATGCGGATAATATAGCCCTGCGAAGTTTGCAATTTTCAGTCATTTTAGATTACAAACGGGAAATTGATACCCAAATCGGGTGTTTGGGTATCAATTTCCCGTTTGTAATCTAAAATGACTGAAAATTGCAAACTTCGCGGGTGTTTGGGTATCAATTTCCCGTTTGTAATCTAAAATGACTGAAAATTGCAAACTTCGCAGGGCTATATTATCCGCATTTTACAACATTTCGTAACGAAACTTCGGAATATTACTAATTTTGTGATTCTCTTTCAAGCTGTGATGAAGTTTTTGTCTAGATCAAAATTTTAGTTATAAGGTTAAAGGTCCATTATAGGTTACATTGCAGATAAGTTCCTTGTAGCACAGAGTACCTGTAGATTACATACACAGAGTTACAACAAGTGTAGCCACAGGAGGCCCAGGCTCGATTTGCCCGCGCCCGCCTGTGCCTTCCTTAATAACGAGGGAAGGAAGGAAACATTGAGACCAAAATAGCCCACACTTGGCATATGTCACACGAAACTATCCTCGATTTTTCGCCTTTAATGCATTTCTTTCACGATTAATCGATATCCCCTGCAAGAATGATACCGTATAACTCTCAAAACAACGATGCTTTAATCAAAGAACTTAAATTCGCTCTGAAATCTGTGAGGGAATAACAAAATTCGGCCAAAATATATACGTGTGCCGGGTTTGCTGGACAAAAAGCGGAAGTTGTTGAACAATTATCACTTATTTACTGAGACCGAGGGAAACTGTGTGTTTTGTGGGCCCGAGACCGTCGATGTTTCCCGAGGCGAAGCCGAGGGAAACATCGAGGGTCCACAAAACACACTGCTTTCCCGAGGTCTCAGTAAATAAGTGTTTTATTATATATCAATAGTCAAAGAAACAACAAATTAAAGAACAAATGAACGTAAATACATGAAATATTTTATTGTTAAAACGTTATATTAAACACTGGCTACGCTGCAGTTACTTAAAGCGAAAGTTCTAATTACGTACTAGGCATGTCCAAAGGTTGCATCTTCACGTGATGGCACACATGATTTTTTTTGTTATTCACCGGTCGATAACGTATCATCTCCCTCTCGTGCTGTTGCGAGGGAGACAGCCTAATTTTGTCACTCTCACATGATATGCTCTCAACCAATAAAACACTAGAAAAATGCGACTTTGACTATTGATATATAATAACTCAAAATACACTCAACCCTGATTGGACAACGAAAATCAACAAACATTTCAAATTTTCAGTAGTCAGTAATTAATATAAATTTGAATCAAAACAATTAACAAATGTTGTCGGGGGAAAACCAGTGTAAATCTAATTATTTAAATTTAAGAAGTTTAGTCAGTAAATACGGATAGTAATTTACCCTATTTGACAAGATGTTTCAGCGTAAAATTATAGTTATATTTGCAGTTATATTTACAGTAACACATATAATCGACTTGTAGTAGACTATAACGTTTGTGAATTGTTTTGATTCAAATAATCAAATTTGAAATGTTTGTTGATTTTCGTTGTCCAATCAGGGTTGAGTGTATTTTGAGTTGTTCAACGACTTCCGCTTTTTGTCCAGCAAACCCGGCACGCAGATATATTTTGGCCGAATTTTGTTATTCCCTCACAGATTTCAGAGCGAATTTAAGCTCTTTGATTAAAGCATTGTTGTTTTGAGAGTTATACGGTATCATTCTTGCAGGGGATATCGATTAATCGTGAAAGAAATGCATTAAAGGAGAAAAATCGAGGATAGTTTTGTGTGACATATGCCAAGTGTGGGTTATTTTGGTCTCAATGTTTCCTTCCTTCCCCTCGTTATAAGGAAGACACAGGCGGGCGCGGGTAAATCGACCCTGGGCCTCCTGTGGTGTAGCCACTTTTTTGTGTATTTTAATTGCTCGTGGAACTTGCCAAACATGCACAGATGATCACTTTTTGCCTGTTTGCCTGACAAAAGTGAGTACATGAAAACGTAAGTTTCCGCAGTGTTTACGACTTCCAGTTCCACCTCTGTATGTATCTACTCTGTGCTTGTAGTTTTGCATGGTGAATAATAATATTAGTTTTGGTTTGTGGAAACACCACGTAATGATGTAAATTTATTATTTGGAAGCAATAATTTTATGTGGTGTTTCCTCAAAATGAAATTGAAATTATATATATTACAAATGCCCAAAAAGTGGGGGTATAGGTTATCCCATGATCTCACATCCCTTGGTGAAAATTAATCTCTTGCAGTGAATCTGCCCCCTCCCCAAAGGATTATGGATGAAATATTAACTAAATGTTTTCTTATAGAGTATTGCTGGTTTGCTCTGAGAGTGGAATTGTAAGAATTTTAAGAGATTCTGACAATGAAAAGGTAGAGTATATAAAGAGAACCCTGGGTGCAAGGTTGAGTATATTCTTGAAGAACAGTCACAGCAACTTTGACCCATTAAAGTGTAAGACTCTCCCCTTGACAGTTAATATTATATGGCGTTACAGTGCATCTACAGTAAGTGGGGGCACTTAGAGAACACTAACCAATCACATTGCAGAACAAAAATAGAAAAAATCAACAAATGGCACATTAGCCAATCAGCATTAGGCCAAAAACAATTTCAACAAATAAATTAATGTCAAATGGTAAAAATAGTCGACTCTTGAAAAGTAAACACTGCAGTTACTGGCTTCCTGAAGCGAACTCCATGCTTTCTTTTGATTGGATGAGCTGTAGTTTGATTAAATTTCTATTTTTGTTGTGCAATCTGATCGGTTAGTGTTCTCTAAGTGACCCCACTTACTGTAGACACACTGTAAACAGTCAGAGTAAAATAATAAATGAAGGCACATTTAGGTGCACTGCAGCCTAATGGGCTAACCTTTGTGCTTCATAGTGTGATGTTCATCTGGAATAAACTAAATTTGATTATAATTCAGACTGACATCAAAGTTGGAAATCATATTGCCGGAATGAGAAAGAATCCATTTGAGTCATGCCAATTTGCAACTGGTGGAAATGAAAATGTCCTGAAATTATGGGATCTCAATAAACCTGAACAGCCATTGTTCAAGGCAAAGAACGTAAGTACAGTATGGCAAAATATTGGGCGTCAAGCAGTCATGAACACCCTAATTGTGGATTATGGAAGAACAATTACTCACTTAACCCATATGAAGTGGCTGGCAGCACTCTCCCCTTGACACTTAAAATTGTCTGGCATTAGACAGAGTAAAATAATAGAGTAGAGCACGTCAGAGACAGAGTGCATGCCACTTAATTACTTAAAGGTTGAAGTCATTAACCCTTTGAGTGGCAGCACTCTCCCCCTGACAAGTAAAACCATCTGGCATTAGACAGAGTAAAATAATAAAGTAGGGCGTATCCGGATGCATTGCTACTAAAAGGGTTAATCTTGCAAGTCTGTTGAGTCATTGGCCTTGTACATATAGTTGTATGTATTGAGTATTGAATCTGACTCATCAGTCATCAATTTTGTCTGTTGAATTGTTATATATTTAACAACATTGAACCTGGTAACAAGTAATCTAAACACAACCTGATATCAGGCAGCTTACTGCAACAATGAAATGTTGTTCTTAATTGAACTAGTTATTTTGGCAATTATTCAATGTAGTATACTTCATTTTATCCGATGTAGAGTTGGGTTTTTCGCCATTTTCGTTTTATTTTATCGACGGATACAGAACCTATATATATTCTCGCATTTATTCTGTTTGACAATTTTTGTCATTTTTCCCAAATTTCGAAATTTTTACGCTCTCTCTCTCTACTTCGGATAAAAAGGATTATACTATATTCTTGTTTGATATTTAAATTATAAGTTGTGAAGTTTTGTATAATGATGTTTTGTAACAGGTCACTAACGTAATTGGCTCACGCTGTGTTAGTGTTCCTGAACCGTCTTCCTGTTTGCATATGTATATTTCTGTTGACGGCTGAAGTTAATAAATAAATAAAAAAATAAAAATCAGCTTAATGGAACAGCCTTTTTCGCGAATCTACTTTAGGGCTGTTACAACTTGTTCGTTTTTACGATTGTGCACAAACTTGAAATCTGAATGTTATTTTTGTACCATGTCCCTTTTAGGTTCGGAATGATCAGTTGGATCTCCGTGTTCCTGACTATGTAAAAGATATAGGGTTTCTCCAATCATCTGGGTCACTGCCAAAGATTATTGTTGGTACTGCATATCACAAGATTCGACTTTATGATTTGAAGGCTCAAAAACGCCCTGTATTAGATATCAGTTATAAAGAGTCACCAATCACCTGTGTCTCTGTTCCATCACTTGAGAAGTAAGTATTGTCAAGTTCTATGCGCTCAGATCAGAGTTGATCAGTTAACTTTCATTAAAGGGAAATGGCAATAAAAACGTCGGAATATTTATATCTAATTTTGTGATGCTCTTTCAAGCTGTGATGAAATGTTTGTCTAGACTTGTCTAGATCAAAATTTTGTTCATTAGGGAACAGGGTCTTAGCTAGAAGGCCGTGTTGGCCGTGTTATCGCGGCCAAAAGAGGGGAAACACGGCTAGATAAAATGAACGCGGCTTCACTATTTATATAAGGCCGTGTACAGTAGGTTCATAAAATAAGGTGGTGCTACAGTACTTACAACAGACAGAACTTCTTCCAATTTACGTCGTAAGAAAGTTTGTAAAATCTACTGTTGTTGTTGAATTGGCAAAGTGATCCGTGATGTTTTAATGTTTCGATGGATAATGGGAACTGTATATGGTGTTAATATGGTTTTAAATTCCCGCTGAAATAACTTGATATTTTTTTTAATCCGCTGAAATAACTTGATATTTTAATGTCAGTGCGCAATATGAGCGTATGCTCGCCTTGCATTTGGTTGCAAAACATAGAACAACCACAGGCATTGTTGTTAGCGAGCATAACTAAAACCGTGATTTTGCTATTCAAGGTAATCGACATGTGCACGCCCTGGTCATTAGAAACACGCCCAAGATCTAAAATCTTAGCTAAGACCCTGTTAGGGAATAGGTCCATTGGCTCTAACTCTTTTGAACACTGCCAGATGATTGGCTCCTAAAACAAAGGGAATTGAATGTGCAGCTCGGGTAAGCAGACGTTAGTTTTTTGTCGCTTGGTGTAAGAATAACGTCTGCGAGCAGGCTAATAGAAAATGAGTGTCATAGGTATATAAACAACATAAAAACTTCATGGTCGGTCTTTCATTGAAATTCAAGACGAAATTCAACGAAATGAATTTCAACGAAAGACCGACCATGAGGTTTTTATCCTATATCTATTAAATCATTAACATTAAATCAGAATTTTATTTTTACATTTTGGCAATTCGTTTATAGATTTATTATAATTGGAAATATGCATGGAGACATGTCAGCTATTGATATCAGAAATGGTGAGAATGTCTTGTTTTTATTATTGGAATTGAACACATCTAAAACTGCATTCTGAAAACATTAAGAGGACAGCAGCCCCTCTTGCCTCATCTCCATCCTTGGCGGAGCCACTGGTTACGGCTTTCACCCAATGATGTGCTTTTATGTTTCTCTCAATCATCAACTAAATGTGCTTTATTTCTTCCTTTTAGGTAAAAATCTTGGTTCGTACAAGTCATTTTCAGGCAGTATAAACGACATTCAATGTCATAAAACGGAACCACTTGTGGCATCTTGCGGTCTGGATAGATTTCTAAGAATTCACCATGTTGATACACGGCAGCTTGTAGATAAGGTAAGAATATTCCCTCTTATACTACTTGTCCTCTCCAACTTGGATGAGGGGAGTGGGGTGGAATTCTCCCACTCCCCACCCCACCCCTCATCCATGTACGGGAGTAAAGAAAAATTAGTAGTAAATGAAGACTGAGTTGTGAATACTTAGCTTTTCAAGCCTTTCTCTTATTTTGCTGTTTTAGGGTAATTTTCGTCACAGAATCCCCAACCTTCTCCAAATTGTAGTTCTGCATGAATATACTGTCCCTCTGAACTGTTTCATTTCTTTCTAGATATATTTAAAATCAAGATTAAAGTCTCTTCTGTTTTCCAAAGCATATAAACAGGTGACCAAAATTACATTGCGCATTATATCACTAGGCATTATTTCATTGGTTGCGGATTATTTAATTGGGGGCAGGAAGGGGGAGGCTGTTATTTCTGGGTTAACCAGGAAATTTTAGCAAGAGTGTTGGTATGGTCCATTTCCACTCAAGAAAAATTTCCACGGACTTAAAATTTTCCGAAAATATCAGTGTTAAAAGTTAAAAATTTTCAACGGAAAATTTGTGTAGGCCAATCACATTTTACAAAATTTTCTTTCTGCGGAAAATTTTCCTGAGTGGAAATTGACCTTTAGAATGCCCCCAGATCTATACATGTAGCCTCCCGAGCCAAAGCATCTTCCGCCGTTTGTGCATTGTTTCCCCTTATCCCGCTCCTTTGCTATCTTTGTAAAACCCTGCGTCTTGACTTCATGATAGGTATCTGACGATGTTAAAAATGATAAAAACAAACGGAAACATAGCGAGAAAAAGGAAGGCGAAGAAGATGGTGATGATGATGTTTGGGACAACATGGGTGTTGTTGAAGATGATGCTGTCGACAAGAAGACAAAAAGTAAGTTTTATCAAAGATCTTTTTCCATTCCATTTATATCTAATCAGGTTTTTTTCCAGGGATTTTTTAGGGCCGTTAAACGGCCCCAAAAACTTAATCTCGAATTGAGTTTTGAAACTCAATCTTCTCACCAAAGTTTCAGTGCAGTAAAAATGAAGTTGTTTGAGTTAAATTCGTGACGTGTGGAAATTAGTTTTCAGTTGGAAACCCGACAATTAAAAAAAAATGGCTGGAATTCATCTCACAACACAAGAAAAACTATGCATTCGTCATCTTTAACCAGTTTATAGTGTCCCTTAGTGCCCCTGCCTTAACACATTCCGTCTCAACTACATTTATTGAGTACAGGTGTCAGCCCCCAGTAGGGGGGGGGGGATGCAGTCACCCCAGCTGTTCAGCTTAACTCAATCTTCTCTGCAAAAACGGACCCAAGAGAAAATCCTGAAAAAAACACTGCTAATGAAAAAAACATAATTTAAAATGCTACTAACTTTCCGACGAAGGTTCGAAACGTCGAAGTTCTCCTTGTTTTCCGCATCTTCCCGTAGAATCTCTTTATAAGTTTTCCTGGGGTTGTTTTCCAGAACACAGAAAGAAAGGCAAATAAAAAGATGGGAAGATAATACCCAAACAGTTGGCAAAGACAGAAGGAGTTTTGTACAAGTCAAGTTCGTCAACCGTCGCCCTAGTCTAACCAGCATCCAAAGATTATTGTTGGATAAACCTATCTGGAAAACCCGACCCTTGGTGTACTAAACCCTAAAAAAGGTGTGATCAGCAGAATGCCGTCTGAGATGCAACTAAGTGAAAGAAAACACAAGAATTTTCACTTAATAAATTGTGAAGAGGAAAGACCGTGTCGTTTCAAATATTTTAAACAGACGATATAATACAATTTTACCAGGACACTTACGTAATGAACAATCTATAGTACTCAGTTGCAAACTGCAATGTATCGAATGTAAATAAAAAATGTTTTTCTCTGGTAAAGTCCAATATTTTTCGTGTGCTTGTGGGATATAAATGCACCTAACTTGCATGACATGACATACATGCAGGGTGTCCCCCAAAAAGTATACCTTTAGGAAATTGATGCCCCGACACCCGATTGGGCTGTCAATTTCCCGTGCGTAATACAAAATGACTAAAAAATAGCAAACTTCGCATGGCTATATTATCCACATTTTACAACTTTTCGCAACGAAACTTTGTAATATTAATACTAAATTTGTGATGTTCTTTCAAGCTGTGATGAAATTTTTGTCTAGATCAAAATTTAGTCTATAATGCAAATGTCCATTCCAAGCTCAAAACCCTTCACCCCTGCAGAAATACTTGGATCCTCGACAGGTGGGGAGGATATCAAATGGAATAGCCCATTATTTTGGCCATGTTTTGGCTAAAATGGTCCTCTCTTTGTTGACCTCAGGGTTGCCTGTGGCCCAAATATTTCAAAACGTTTTTGGGGCACTGTGGTCCCACCTTTTGCTAAAGCCAGGGGTACCTCTGTGGTCCTTTGCATTTGACCACATTTTTTTAAAACATATCGATCGTAACTAATTGTTTTGCTGACAGGGACGGTTTTCAACAGTTTTCAGAAAGTTTGGACTATAAATTTGAGGGTGCTTTGAGTGTTTTTGAATAATTTCCTGTGGTCCACCCTTTGCTAAGCCAAGGCTTCCCATGTGGTCCCCCTTTGCATTTGACCAAAAATTTCTAAAACATTTTTATTGATCGAAACTAATTGTTTTGATGACAGGAAAGGTTTTCGACAATTTTTACAAAGTTTGGACTAGTTTGAAGGGTTTTAGTGTTTTTGAATTTTGGAAAAATTTCCTGTGGTCCCACGGCTCCCACCCTTTGCTAAAGCCAAGGGTACTCTGTGGTCCCCCTTTGCATTTAACCAAAAATTTTAAAACATGTTATCGATCAAAACTAATTGTTTTGATGACAAGAAAGGTTTTCGACAATTTTTACAAAGTTTGGACTAGTTTGAGGGGTTTTTTTAGTGTTTTTGAATTTTTGAAAAAATTCCTGTGGTCCCACGGCTCCCACCCTTTGCTAAAGCCAAGGGTACTTTGTGGTCCCCCTTTGCAATTAACCAAAAGTTTTTAAAACATGTTATCGATCAAAACTAATTGTTTTGATGACAGGAAAGGTTTTTGACAGTTTTCAGAAAGTTTAGATTTAAATTTGTGGGGGCTTTGAGTGTTTTTGAATTTTTGAAAAATTTCCTGTGCTCCACCCTTTGCTAAGCCAATTTGCATTTGACCAAAATTTTTTGAAACATGTTTTTATCGATCGAAACTAATTGTTGATGACAGGAAAGGTTTTCGACAGTTTTCGGAAAGTTTGGACTTAAATTTGAGCATAGTTAATAGAATAGATGGCTTGGAAACTCATTAGAATAACAATATAACTCATTATCTGTAGGTGGTAGTCAACGTTTATTCATAAATCTCGTCCTTCACTGTCACATGTGCATTGTATTTTTGCCCAACTAACCAATAGCAATGTTTTAGGAAAGTTCCCTGTCTGTGACTCGAACAATAGGGTAAATTGGAAATTGCTGTTGGTGGATTTGGCACAAATACAATACGCATGTGACGGTGAACGACCAGATTTATGAATAAATGTTGACTAACATAGATAATGAGTTATGTTGTTATTCTAATGAGTTTCCAAACATATATGATTTGAAGGGGCTTTGAGTGTTTTTGAATTTTTGAAAAATTTCCTGTGGTCCACCGTTTGCTAAGCCAATTTGCATTTGACCAAATTTTTTTAAAACATGTTATACACAAACTAATAGACAACGTACATGTTAGACTAATTTTTGACAGGGACGTCGCTATAGAGGGGGGGGGGGG